GAAGATTAGACATATGTCTGAGTAGCATACTGTATTTACTTGCATATAATACAAGGTTTTTATTCATTTTACACTGCATCAAAAACCTAGGTCATCCTATATGCGCAAGAAAAGGATTCTTTGCATTTCTACAATAACTTTTGTGAACCGTGTATTTGCATTTTTTGCCATATGAGCACCCTCTGGTGTTTAAAAACAAAAGTATTTTATCTGAGTTGTTTGAATCGTTTTTGTGTATTGTCAGGAGTAAAGATGAATAGCAATAAGAAAAGCAAAGCTTTTGAATTGAATTCCAAATTGAAATTCCAAAATCACACAAGTGCCTGATATAAGTTTTAATCCATTCCCATGTGAAAACATGATTATTCAGAAATCAGAATTCAGAGAAACTCATAAGTGTAATTGATGGAGAGCAGATTCGACTGTTAAGAATTGACAAAAAAGATTCCCAATTGTCCAGCTTTACATGAACAAATTATGTTGTCAATTTTTCAAGATTTTTCCTTAAAGTTTAAAATGCCAGTAATTTTTGTGAGACAATGTGTGCATTAACGTGTATTTGATATATTATTTTTGATTAAACGAAATAAAAGCAGAATTGTATTAATAAATCTAATTTTCTTTATTTGATCTTTAAAGTCACACCTCATCCTATATGCGAGATCATCTTATACATGAGTATATACAGTAATTGGTAACTCATCTGCACAGTAAGCAGGAGTTGTAAGTTCAAGTCCCACTCCAACCTGATCATTTCTTCCAGAATATTCCAAATTAAATTAATCTACTTTAAATGATTAAATTGAACATGAGATGATTACTTAACCACCTATCTCTACTGCAAGTTACTTAGTATCTTAATTAGTCATATTGTAGGCCTGATAAGAATCTGGTTGCTATATCATTTGTTTATTAACATTTATTGGGTTTGGTTTATATGTAAATTGAGATTATCAGGACTTTATATGGAAAATATGAAGAGGATTTATTTGATTGATAATGCAAGACACTAATACATTACAGATTATATGACCGATCACAATTAGGTCCATTATGAATAAATCTGATCCACAATAGAGTCAACCAGCATAGGTGAGAATAACAGAGAATAACAGAGAACAACATTCTAATTCATACTATTCATGATAAATTAAGCACATCTAATCTAAGTTCAAACAAAGATCTTTTTTGGTGATAAGCTGAGATCTTACCATATGGATATCCAGCAATACTAGACAAAATCAAAACTGTACATAGAGTAAAACTTGTTAATGAATCGCCAAATTTAAATACACAATTTAAGTTTTTATGAGGTGATTGGTTATATTCATTCAATCTCTACATTAATTAATGCATTGTGTGGAATAAAAAATTATAAACTATATCTGAAGCTGAACCTGAAGCATTTATGGAACAATAATTTATATCTGTCTTTATATATATATATATTAACTTATTACTATAAAGAACTACACATCTTTAATTGCTTAGTTTCTATACAAAAAAATATACCCTTTTTTTAAAATGAAAAGTGCAAATGGCTTGAAGTATTTTCATTTATTTGACAACTGTATTTGTATTTGATATGTTATAGGATTAACTAACTAATTAGAGCCATATATAATGAAATTATGTGAAGATATTAAAAGAAAAACTAGTTTTGTTTTGTTTTGTTTCATGTTTCAATTTTATAGAATATATTGAAAGTAAATCATCTATATTTTAATTGAATAAAACAAAAACTTGTGACAACCTAATATCGCGTGACCTTTTACAGTATAAATTTTCAGTGCTTGTTAATGTTTGAATGTTATATAATCATACATATAAAGTATTCCCATTATGTATGTGATCATATCCAAAATAATTACAGTTAGAAAAATATTTGTGCACTCCTGAGGTTGTCAAAGAAGAACAAGATATGAAGACATTTTATGGTTTCTTCTGATTTTTGACTATTTTTATATTTATTATTGTCCTTGGCCATTTAATTTATTAATTATTGTATTATTAATTGAAATATTTTAAAAATAATTACATTTGTTTGATTAATATGGTTAAACTAACTATAGATACACAAAAAATGATAAAGATTATAAATAAAACCCAATACAGTAATACCCTGGACTTATGCGATAGGTGGGACCGAGCGATAACCGTGTAAGTCGAATTCGTGTAAGTCGGGGTATAATTTCACAATTTGTGTAAAACCCAAGTCGGATGTATGTAAGCTAATAAATGTTTTCGTTAATNTAAAGTGTTTCACTACTATATATCTTACACAATCACATTGTCTGAAATTGATATTTTTAATATGAAACCATATCTTACGTTATCAGAATTTTTTTTTAATTCTCTATGCCCCATGAGCACTAGCGAGCCTTTTTGTAGTGAGCCCATTATGAGTTGTGATAAAACGGGCCAAACATATACAATGTAACTATACTAGATACCAGCCAAAATACACCATTGTCCGTTTATTTACTTATGCGGTCTGTTCTGAAAATATCATTCATAAAACAATTTTGAAATGATAAGATTTTGATAATTCCAATTGATTTTATATTGATGGTTTGTATTTTTCTTGTGGACCGGATGATTAAAGCGCGCGTCAGTCTCTCCGAGGAAATCCTTAAATTTCCAGCCCGGGTGCCTAGTCTGGAGTAATGCAAGTGGCGAGGAGAACGCGTCAATAATATTGCGTGGTACCGATTTGTTCACCGGATGAATTCACAATACATTTGTGCTGCCACTTGCATAATTTGAGACTACGCCGCATCGAACCCGTCCACCTCTTTTCTGTCGAGGGCTCGGCCGACATAGTAATGAGCACAAAAAACTCCCCTCTTGGTATTCGAATGGAACTTATTTTTAGAGTCTTAAAATTGAATTGTACGTTTTGCTATATGTTTCGTCCGAAGTGTTTCACTACTATATATCTTACAGTTAAATTGTATGTTTTGAGCGTAATTTGAATTTGAAGACAATTATTTGCAAAGAGTATAATTATTAATTGATATTTTTATTTTAATAACAACTTAAATTACAAGACTAATTATTTCTTATTTGATTACATCGGCCAAAATTTGTTTGTCGATTGGCTTTTCTCGTGTTAAAACTATGGTTACCGTATAAACCGATTGCATTTTGAACAAATATATGAACCGTCCGTCTTCCTAAACTATGTTTATTGCTTCGCTTGGTAGTATATAAATGAATACGGTGTATACATCTTTGAAAATATAATTCCGGAAGCTAAAATAAACTGCATACAAAATAAGAAAATATAAAATATTCGTACGAGTATATACTGAAGCTTTATGTTTCAAAAGAAACATTTTCTTGAATGAAAGAATGAAAATGTTGTAAATATTGTAATAATGTTGTAAAAAAAAAGGTAAAAAATTAGAAACAGAAAGGAATCTGAATATATACTTTGTATTAATTGATGTAGAAAATAAAAATTCACATTTCTTCTGTAGTAAGTTTGTTCTAATAATATTTTTGTTACCAGTTCAGAACTTTGAATTAAAATTAATTTGGCATCAACAAATATTTTTTGGCTTTGTCACACAATAAAAAAAGTTTTTTCTGTTATAAAAACAAGATAAAACATCTTGAGTCAATAATACAGGCAGTGCAAGAGATAGATATTGTCTGTAATACTTTTTTTTTGGCTTCTAAAACAGTGTAAAATGATTGTCCGCTTTCATATTAAACGTTAAAACAATTTTCTGCCAAATTAACTGGCAATAATGAATTTTAAAATATTATCAGATATAACTTTAGTGTATTATCTGCTTTGTTAGAATGATGAATAATCAATATACGTATATAGAAATTTGTATAGATACATATATATTAAAATCAATTTTAGTAAAAAAAAGGGGGGGACAAAAGAACAATTTGTTTCAATTCAAATAAATAAACCACAATTTGCTTTTAACAAAGTCAACTTTCACTTCAAATAAACAAATTATTATTTTTTTTTTTTATTAAATTAAATTAACCTAATCTTTGCTCCGAAAAAATTACAAATGTTCTTACAACATTGGATAAGCAGACTTTATTAAAAAAAAAAAAAACTGGGGAATATTTATTTGAATTTATTAACGCCGAGTCATTTGGGAATCTCAAAATAACTTGTATCAATAAATAATTCTAAAAGAAATCTTTTTTAAGAAATTTGTTGCTTTTTCTTAAGACCAGGACGCCACTTCTGATGTCTTCGCCAGTGTCTGGAAAAAAAAATTTTAGTATAAAAATTTAGAAGTTTTAAAGAAAAATAATATTAAAGATAATGATCGCTGGTGTAACACGATACAATTACAATTTATCAAGTAGCGAATAATGTTAATATTGTGTATTTGTTTACAATTCTGAAATCGGTAATGCTAAAACTTTTGGTCTCTAAACCAATGTTTCTAAATTTTTTTGTAGTTTTGACCCATTAATGTATAAAAAATTTTGAATATCTTGCCCAACTTTTGAATAAAATTTGATTCCAAATTTAGTTTCGACACTAACATTTGCTCGGTTTAGTATATTGCCATACCAAAAAGAAAAATCATTCAATGTACAATGAATGGTTGTAATATTGACAACAAAATATAAAAATTTTGCAAACAAAANAATTTATTCATAAAATGAAGTGTTTTAAATGATGAAATAAATGTCATAATATATCTGCATTGATCAAATACATTGTAATATATTTTTTATAGTTTACTTCATACATATGTAAGCAGTTTAGTGTAGCATATTACATTTGTTATAGTAATAATGCAACATACTACAACTGAATACAAAACAATTAAGTATTTTTATATGCATACAAATGCAATATTTCAAAAACATAAATGCAAAAAATTTGAAATGTTTTATTTATATTTGAATAAACAGTTTAATAGGATATATAAGAATGTAAACTAATTAATAATTTAATATATATTGTATGCAAATCAATCATTAAATTCTTATGTAGCTATGTCTTTAAGTTATGCTCAAATTTTTAATTGAAATTTGCTTCATTAAAAAGTAAACAACATGTATCTAATTTTTATAATTGAACTTATTGAACTTGTATTAATTCAATATTTATACTGACCAGGACGATAACGCACAGTACATTCTCTTGCACCCTTGCACTTTCTTAATTTGTGAAGCTGAAGATGCAATTGCTGAATTTTTGCAACATCTTGTTTATAAATCACATTTGTCAGCTAAATAAATAAATTTAAAATAAATGTAAATATTCATAAACTTGTATGTTATCTTTACAATTTCAAATTACATTTAAAAATATTTAGGAAAATAAAATAATATAAGACTTTTTAAATTTACTATTAGCAGAATTTAATAATTTGAATTAGCAGACCATTTGGCATCCCTCTGCAAGTGGCACCCAGGGCATGATAAGACTCCCTTGCTATGCTAGTGATGTTTTAGTAACCTTTTTGCATTTATGACCCATCTTTTCACATTTTTACACATCAAATAAATATATATATATATATTTCTACAATAAATCAATTTAAAAATTTTTATTTTTATTAAAATCTTATTCTTTGCAATTCAAAATTTTAAATATCAGACTGTTACTTCATTTGTAAACCTTACTAAAGTATAAACTATTTTTCATGTGAAAAATGCAGAATTGTAGATATTTTCACAAATAACATACTAATAAAATAGCATAAAATACAAAGATTTATTTGGTTCTGAATACAAATATTATTATAAATTTCATTTCTAGTAATCAAATCAATACTTTAAGTCCCCTATTTCTAAACAAAAAATTCAATTTTATTTTAAAATATCATTTTTTTTATAACAGTGTCTATTAAACAGTTCTTGACATAGTTAAGTTAATCATTTAAAATATTAATTACTTACTTTGTTTTTATCAATGCTATTATGAATTATTAAAATTACTTTTCTGTGTTACAAAAAAAGTTTGAATATATTTATCTTAATTTTTTTACTTTACAATTATGGCAGTTGACATCTGAACAACATCCTCCATAACTTTTTGCCATTTTGATAATTTTGTTACCATGTTATCAGTAATTTATTTAAAAACAATCAATAGACATAATTACAAGAAGAAAAAAAAATAATAATTACATATCAGAAAACTGATCAATTCAAGACAATTAATTGTAGAATAAACTCCACATATCCCTTGTCTTGATATGTTACAAAATGGTGAATATAGTCATGCACATTAGCAACTTATCAGCTAGAAAAGTCTGGAGTGCAAGTACTCTATAACTTTACTCTGCTATTAATTTAAATAATGCAAGAAAATGCAATTCTCTACTTAAGTATCTTCTTACAATGATAAATTTTTTGATACATTTTATCTAGTAAAAGTTTACTAATGCCATATAGATGCTGAAATTATTTTTATGTTTTTGATAAAATAAAAATGAATGTATCAATTTCCTATTATAGTAGTTGCCAATTCAGATTGTGTGGATAATGCTGCAATTGGTCAATATAATTTTTAAGCATAAAGTGAGTTCATAATATTTTCTGATATTTAGATATGTATGTTTTAAATATACAATAATTATAAAATAGTAGTAAATACAACCAAATGAATAGTTTTTTTCTAATACAGTATTTAAGTCACAGATTAGTTTTCCATGTTTGTATATCAATTTTCAATAAAATTATAACAATTAAATTTCTCAAAAATTAACAATATAAGAATAAAGGTTTTCTGTAATTAAAGGATAAAATTTTATTTTACTGGAATGGACATTACTGAATGTAAAAAAATTATTAATATATATTATAATTTTTCAAAATCTATAACATGGATTGCACACTGAGAAGTTGCAACTAAACTAATTATATTCAGATTTTTTTCTTCAGCGAAAAAACAAACTACTTGATACCACAATGGAAATTTCTCAAAGCATTCAGAAAAAGATTCTCTTAGGAAATATTCAGTTTAGTTTCTCTTTTACTATTTTTGCCATGTAGACACAAAGTGATCTATATTCATACACACAATAGATTCAATCAGGTCCATAATGGAGCAGTCAACTGATGAAAGACAAAACCTAACACATCTAATCCACACATGAAAATTTAAGGATCTGACTCACACTCAAACCCAAATCTCCAGAGCATATTGCAATAGGTATTTGTTTAGTTAATTTACCATCTGTCCTGCTAAATCTGAAATTTATTCATAAAATGAAGTGTTTTAAATGATGAAATAAATGTCATAATATATCTGCATTGATCAAATACATTGTAATATATTTTTTATAGTTTACTTCATACATATGTAAGCAGTTTAGTGTAGCATATTACATTTGTTATAGTAATAATGCAACATACTACAACTGAATACAAAACAATTAAGTATTTTTATATGCATACAAATGCAATATTTCAAAAACATAAATGCAAAAAATTTGAAATGTTTTATTTATATTTGAATAAACAGATTAATAGGATAATGACTATTTCCTCATAATGAAAAAGAGAAAGAGGGATCACAAATCCAGCTATCAGCAGAAGAATGAAATAATTTCTGTTTCTGAAATCATGAAGACATCAGTAAATAATACTGGAGATACAAATAGTTACGTGATATACTTAAAAATTTAATTATTAACCAATTTCAATTTTCTATCCTAAATTAAAAATTCTTTATAAAGGTGAACTGAATTTCTTATCTCTATTAAGAGTTTTTTTAATCTCTATTGATAATTTTAACAAAGTTTTTAATAGTATAATTTCAAATTACTTATTATATTACTGTCTTAAAAAAATATAATTTATGAAAGTTTATAATTATTAATTACCTGATAAGGATCCGTTTTCAGATCATAATATACAATGAATCTTGTGATGAATTCACAATACAGAAAATTGTGTGTTTCATTAATTGTCCTCAAACACCAATATGTATTGTTATTTGAATTCTGGCAGAAGCAAAATGGTCCATCTGTAAATATATACAAGTAAATATTTTATGAGAAAAGTAAAATATTTAATTAAGAATTAAAACTGTACAAATTGGAGTATCGTATACAGCATACTTTGTTTAGAGAAACCTTCAAGTTACAAATGTTTAATATTGATACCGAATTATAAACAAATGAAAAATTCATTATAATAAATTAAAAGAAATTTTTTAAAATCAGTAATCTCTTAATAAAAATAAGTTGTATTTTGTATTTGTTTCTCTCTTGTATATAGAGAAAATGTAAGTAACAAATTCTCATATTTATAAAAAGATACATTGTATTGCAATTAAGTTTGCTCTTAAACAATCAACTTTGCAAAATCCTCAAAGATACCACAAATCTCTTGCTGTCAATAATCTCCTCCTCCACTTCTTACAATCTTCTGTTTTTATCAAATCATCCACATTGCACATCCCTTTCAATCAAGCCACCACCACTATGTAACTATCTTAAAGTAGACTTGTATCAAAGACAAAAAGGACCTTGTACCTTTCTTATGGGAAATGAGTTTTGGTGAAATTGGCTGAAAATAAAATATCTTGTAGTTTATGAGGTCATGGTCAAAAGTCCCAATGGGTAGGCTGCTCAAAAATAGTTTTTTACTTTTTTTGCTACAAGTGATTCTTGTGATTTTGATAGAAGCAACCCACTTTCATAAAAACGTATCTTATAGCAGTTACTGGAATAAAGTATCTTAAAGAATGAAGCACCAGTGTGTAACTGGTGTTCTAGTATTGTATTTACCTGTTTCAATTTCATTAGTGCATGTGTGCTGTCTTTAATAATGCTAGATCAGAAGAGTCAAATGGGAATTGGTTTTAAAGAATAATTTTTTCAGGTTAGATCATTTACATACAGTTTCATATTTCTGCAGACAGACTTCATTGTAAATTTGATAGCATTTCTGACTAGTTTGTGCAACAGACATTTCTACTGCAATCTATTCCACACCTGCAATATTATGAGCAAATAATTCTGCAACTCATTCTGTGATCAAAAATTCAATGTCAGCTCAATGCTCAATCCACAACACTTTCTGCAATTATAACAAATACATTCCATAAACCTTTCCATAACTACAATCTTGACTGCACAGATTGATATAATGAGTCAGTAAAAAAGTTATAGTCAAAGTTGTGGAATGGGGAAAAGATTACAGTATGCATTGTAGTTGAAACATTGGCAGAAAGTTTTTTGCAACTGTGGAAAACAATGTTGTCATCAACTCACCCTTAATAGATTTTGACTGCTATGTCTGCATTTATAACAAATTTTGTACATTGTGCATCTGTAGCGAGAAAAATTGTCCATTTTTGACCAGGACCTCAAATTACAACAAATTTCATTTTCAGTCAATTTCACCTAAACCCATTTTTCATAAAATAAGATGAGGAATCCTTTATTAAACTCTTAATTAATTTTGTTTGATTAAAAATATTGCATAAATTCTCATATAGTATAATCATTTTTTCACTTCTACACTGCAATACACCAATCATAATTTTTTATTTTTTACACAAACTTGTTAAGTTTTTTTCCTTCATGCATTATATGAATATAAACTATTTTACCAAGAAACATGATATTAGAGTTATGTTTATTGATCATACAGAACAGTAAATATTACATTAATAATTACCTAATTTCCACTAAGTTAAAATTTCATAGTCATAGTTTTTTCATATAGATATCAAAATACAAACGTTACTGTATTTCAACTGTAATTATAACCTGAATTTTAATAATTTACATAAACCTTTAATTAAAATTATAAATCATTATTTGGTTTTATCATCTTTAAAGGATTACTAAATAAATATTCATTAAATATTAAAATTATAATTTTAGCATATAACTTTATATTGGGAAAGTTTGTAGAAATCTTAATTTTTGATTAAAATAGTTATATCTAAATCCATTTTTGCCCAATTTCTTATAAAATTACATCTATGGATTGTAAATAATTTATAATTATTAGAATTAGAAATCCAGAGAGAGAAACTTGCTTTCAACTTGACCTTGACACACATTCAACAATGACCTTGTATTGTTTTGTTGCCTGTGGATGAACATTATATATATAATAATCATTATTTTGTTTCAACTTTATTTCGTACACACACACACATATATATATATATATGTTAAATATAATTTTTAAATGCAATATTTTTCTATTTGTAATATAATATTAATACATAAAAAAATTTGTTTTAAAATGAAGTATGTAATAAATGTTAAGTCTAGTTTATGTCATTAAGCTTCTCTTCATTTTTTATAAAATATACAAAACTCTCATAATATAAAAACTTTTGTTGATTGTGATTTAAAATACATAAATTATTCTCACTGTAAAAAATTTATATGAATAAGAGAAGAATAATTTCACATTTGTGTGCAAATATAGCCTGATTTAAATATAATATACCAAATATATAGCAAAAATTTCTCAGTTAATCATCATTACAATTGAAACATTGACCTATAACATTTTTTTGAAAGTCCTGTATTTCTACAAAAAATTTATTTAATACACATGGATATAAAAATCTACCTATATTTTAACTACCGCTATACCAGCAGTTTCAAAATTTATTATAAATATTACAAAAATCCCACTAACAAATATTTAGCAGTAAAGTATAATATGTTTTTAAAGTAGATATGTCTAAATCTGTCACAGCTATGCTAATCATAAATTCACAAATCAATTAATATATCAACAAAACATCTATTTTTTAAAATAAAATTCTAATAGAAATTATTGAATTCACTTACAAGTCCACAATGGTGGAGTTTTCCAATGATTGTTATCGTGTGTGAAGCAATTCATTTTTTCCGCATTGCATGTCATATTATGAAATTTTAATTTCCTCCTCTGTTTTCGTTCTAATTTTCTAACATTTTCTTCTTTCTTTTTCTGTCGAGATTTTATTGTATCTTTTTCTTCTTTCCATTCCAAATCTAATTGGTGTCTGTATATAATAATAATAAATTAATATTACTTAGTTAAAAATATCATTAATATTACTGTCAATATTCTCCTCCTCCACTTCTTACAATCTTCTGTTTTTATCAAATCATCCACATTGCACATCCCTTTCAATCAAGCTACCACCACTATGTAACTATCTTAAAGTAGACTTGTATCAAAGACAAAAAGGACCTTGTACCTTTCTTATGGGAAATGAGTTTTGGTGAAATTGGCTGAAAATAAAATATCTTGTAGTTTATGAGGTCATGGTCAAAAGTCCCAATGGGTAGGCTGCTCAAAAATAGTTTTTTACTTTTTTTGCTACAAGTGATTCTTGTGATTTTGATAGAAGCAACCCACTTTCATAAAAACGTATCTTATAGCAGTTACTGGAATAAAGTATCTTAAAGAATGAAGCACCAGTGTGTAACTGGTGTTCTAGTATTGTATTTACCTGTTTCAATTTCATTAGTGCATGTGTGCTGTCTTTAATAATGCTAGATCAGAAGAGTCAAATGGGAATTGGTTTTAAAGAATAATTTTTTCTCAGGTTAGATCA